CACACACACACACACACACACACACACACACACACACACACACACACTCTGCTGGTAAAGGAGGTGCTATTAAATTCTTTTCTCTGGCCACAGTACCTGAGTAGTGTAGACCTGGTACCCAGGGTGACTGATCCATACTTCTGATATGAGAAATTTCAAAAGAGAAGTTGAGTCAATATAAATTGTAACAGTTCACTACACTTACCCCTAAGAATAGACTTATGACTCTCTTAAATAGTCAAAAAGAGGCAAAAAGAGCTGAGCAAGGATTGGTGTGTTGAAGCTCTTACAAAAGGACTTTGTATGTGCTTAATTTAATCACTGCAGTAGCCCTATGAGGACGGTATTAGCCTCATTATAGTATATAATGGAAAGTAAAGGCCAGCGAGTCTGCACTTTCCCAAGGCCACGCTGGTAGTACACTGTCGAAGTAAGATTAAAACCTGGGTATGTGTTCATATAGTGTTTACAAAGAAAAGAAAGAAACAGCCATGTGCTAATATCTGGATGAGCTAGGAAAACAGAAGATACAAAACCAGAAACCTCTTGGTTCCCTATTCAGCAGTGCCAGAACCCTGGGTCTACCTGAGACCAACTTATAAACCACCATAACCAGAAGGACAATAAGATGTTAATGGACAGTCCAAAGTGACCTGGTCTATATAGTGAATTTCAGAAGAGCCAAAACTACATAGTGAGACCTTGTCTCAAAAACAAACAAACAAAACAACTGGATGTGGTGGCACATGCCTTTAATTCCAGCACTCAGGAGGCAGAAAGATGGATTTCTGTGAGCTCAAGTCCAGGCTGGTCTGCATAGCAAGTTCCAGGACAGCCATAGCTCATAGCTATATAGTAAGAACTTGAGAGAGAGAGGGAGAGAGAGAGAGAGAGAGAGAGAGAGAGAGAGAGAGAGAGAGACCAAAGTGAATTACTTTCAGTCCGCCCAAAATTGGAACTCTTGGGCATCCCCCAATTTTTTAACATCACAATAAGCAAAATATTTAAGAACTCTATGAGCCAGAGCCTGACTGGAGCATTATCTCTTGTCTTTATTTTTGACGATCTTAATCCATTATAAAATTAACACAGAATCTCTGACAATGTGAGGTGTGAGGAGTCCGAGGTCCGGTGTTGGTGTGGACTGCTGCGGGAGTACCTTCCGCTCCATCAGCCAATAGCCGCTGAAATACCAGCCCACTGGGACGTGGTATATTTCTCTTTAAAAGAAGAACTGCAAGCCTCGGCTAGGCCTCTTGATTCCGGCACTTGGTTCTGGCTCCTGCTCCAGTGACTAAGCTCCCTTCCTGACGGTTTATGGTGTATGTAAGTTTTACCCCCCAAAATAAATACCCTTTAAAACATAACTGGTGTGGGATTAATTCACCATTAGTGGACTTTTCCAAGGCCCCACACGGTGGGAAACAGAGAGATGCTCTCCAAGCCCCTATAGTCCACTGTCCGAGGTCAGAGTATTGGTGTGGACCTTACTGAGTCCCCACACAGTGGGAAGCAGAGAGATGCTCTCCAAGCCCTTCGTCCACTGTCCATCTGTGAGAGATTCTCACAAGGACTCACTCCCCAGCACTCCCACATTGGCATCCATTTCAAACACATGACTTTTGTTTGGGACATACTTAGACCCTTATAATTCCTGCCTTCTGTCTGAAGGTGAAAATCTTCCATTAGCTGAATGGTCCAGGGTCCCTGATTCATTCAGAAAAAGATACTTTCTATAGATAACGCACTGCAAGTATGACCAAGAAGCCAGGTCACATGGGAGATAATTTGAATCTCAAAAAAACTAAAATCTGGATCTTCTCAAAGCTGAAATAATTCAAGGTGTCATCTAAATTCAAGGTGTCTCATTAAATTCACTGTGACAACTGAAAAGTAGGTGTGAAGGGGGCTGTATATTTTAATATAATCAGTTTAAAATAAAGCTGTTTTAAACAAGTATTTTTACCAAGGAATATTCAATGTTTTTAATCCTTTACTGAAAATAGTTCATTTTGGGAAAAAAAACCCACACACACTTTGTAGTACATTAACAGCATCACCATTCCAATGGAAAAAAATCCTCTAACATTATTTTGGACCCAGCAACATGGCTCAGTGATCAAAAGTGTTTGCCGCCTGACTCAGTCTGGCAACCTGAGTTTAATCCACAGAATTTGTATAGTAGAACAGATGCCTAGAAATTGTCCTCTGTCCTCCATTCATGCACCATAGTGTGTGCATGCACACACATACACACACAATGTAAAATAAATTTTTAAAGTAGGATTCCAGAAAACATTCAGATAAGAATTGGATCTTTTACCCAATGTGCTGGTACACATTTTTCTAATCCCTGCACTTAAGAGTTAGAAGCATATGGATCTCTGTGAGTCTGAGACCAGTTCTGTCTACATATCAAGGTCCAGGTCAGGGCTACATAGTGAGATCTTGATAAAAGGAAGAAAGAAAGAAAGAAAGAAAGAAAGAAAGAAAGAAAGAAAGAAAG